CCCTCCCCCTCCTCGCGCTACGCGCTCGGGTTGCTGCCTTGGGCAGCACACCGTTGACTATTGAGAAAAAAATTATCGGCTCCCCCTTTTAGGAAATCCTGGATCCGCCCCTGCGACTTGAAAAGAACTTTAGAACGGATTTTCCCATTTGGGCACATATTTTCTCAAAATAAAACCGTCTGATCGCGCCAGGTGACGTCCTGAACCGGAAATAGTATCCACAAAAAAGTGATGAGCGTAAGAAAACAGTCCGTTACAAACAAATCAATATGATGCTACTAAAAATATTGTGAGAACAACAACACCATTTATTAGTGTAAATGTTCACGTTTTCGCGATGAGAACATTATTCTCACGAAAAACCATGAACACACAGTGTGATAATATATAAATCATGGATAAAAATTAAAGACAAGAAGTCTGTCTGAAATCACTTCATAGGTAAACATTAGAATTTCAGAATTCCTTTTTTTTATATATTTTTTTTTTTACAAAACAAATGTTTTATGAAGTAAACTATTTGATGACATGTCGGTACGCCTGAGCATTTTCTTACCTGTGATTTGATAGAAGATGGTATACCATAAAGTTTAACAGTGTGGGCAAACTCGTGCACGAGCATGTTGGCCTGGTGACGATAGGGGTCGTTGGAGTCACATAGAATGTTATCGTCGACTATGCATCCCACCGCTCCGCCAGTACCGGCCAAGCTTGCATACTTCCGCCCATCGAAGGTACAAGTGTGTGCGCAACTTCCAGAACATGATCCTTTGTCATTGATATAAAATATTGAATTGTCATTAAATATGCACGATTCTAAATGTTCTTAATATTATTAATAATGATTATTATTCAAGGTTCTTGCATACCGCTTTATCACTACCTAGTTTGTAGGTCATCTCAAAGCGGTCCACACATTATTATCTGTGGGTATAGAGCCTTTACAACCAGCCAATATATTTCTCAACTCCCTGGGGAGCATACAGCTGCTATTGAGCCGCTCACAGCTAGCATTCAACAGTTCCAGCACTGCCTAACCACGTACTCATTTACAGCTGAGTAGACTGTGACAAGCGGAGTAAAGTATCTTGCTCAAGGTCAAAGGGGGGGGGGGGTAGACACAGCGATATGACTGTAACAAAACATAACACCAACATATTTGAAAGTTTTTCATGCGAAGGGATCATGTTGAGAACTGCTGTATCATCCGACTACACTGTGGAGGAGGCGACTGAAATGTGCCCCTTTCCCTTACAGAATACGGGTTTTTTCTACCGTGGCCTATGTTACTGAAGAAACTACAGTTAATCTGCTGCCTGCTCCCATTGCAGTTTTGTTTTGTTTTATTTTGTTAAACGTCCTATTAACAGCTAAAGTAATGTAAGGACGTGTCTCCGCGTGTGTAGTGTTTGCGTGCTTGCATGTATGTGTGCAGGAAAGAGGATATGTTGGTGTACTTGCCTTTTTATGATAGCGCGGATCTGATGCCGACTTTATAGTGCTATCTCTCCGAAATAATTGCCGAAGCACCCAGAACAGTTTTCTGACCGGTCACATTATATTGACAACGGATAAACCAGTGTTGTTGTCATTCCCCTAATTCTGAACGTTAAGCAATAAATAACAACTACCTTTTTAAGAACTTAGGTATGTCTCCACCTGGGGACAGAACCCATTGCCTTCTTCACCTGGGAATACGCTCAACACTAAAGCCAAACGTGAGGTATTGCCAAGCAAGGCACTATGAAATAAAAGGTAGTTAGCAGTATATTTCGTTTTGTCGCATTTGTGTGTTCAATTGCAATACATTGAATCCATATCTTTTCTTAACCTACTGAGCGCCTGTCTTCATGTTTTGAGGATATCAAACTACAAACAAACAAAATATTGTCATATGACCCCTGCAAAATAGAGGGTTTTCATCGGTTATAATTATTGTTTGCTTTGGGGCGACATTAAAGATACCAAAATCGATATCCTCACTGCAACACTGCGTATCTTTATCATCATTAAGTTAAGGATATTGATCCTGTAGTATAACTTGTCGGTGGCATACACACTCAAAACATTTGGCGGATTCAAATATTTAAAAAAAAAAATGCATGTTAAGTTACCTAAGTTATCTTGTTTTGATAAAGTATATTAATATATAAAATAAAACTGAAAACAGTTCACGTAATTATATCATACAAACAATACACCATATCTTTATGTCGATCTTTAGGGATATTTAAAGATATAAATAACAAAAAGGAAAATCATTTAAGCAGGGTCCCTACTCAATATGTTGCTAAAAACTGCCAAAATATGGCAAAGCGTCAAGGGTTTAACCAGAAATATTTCTGCAATGTTAACTGGTGCTCATCGAAGAGCTCTGTATTGGGTTTATATTGTGTCTAATGCCATTCATCATATTTTTTCATAGTTCAGTTGAGAAAATAACACCCCCTCCCTTTCTGAACTAAACAATACACATACATGACATATGTGTAATTCAATGTGTACTTAAATCGCACTGGCTGTGATTTTAAGGTTACGTTTATCAAGCTTCTATAGCACAAGATTTCGAACAAACCTCGACAAGCTGTAGTGTCCCTGAGAGAATAGTATTCGGGAAAAACCGTAAGTGTGTCCGCACGGGTGAACACGCCCACTTTTGCGTTTCGGGCCAGCGTTGAGAAGATTGACGAGGACATGTACATAGTCATACGACTGGCGATGGAGGCGGCCTAAAGAAAAATAATTATGACTGATAAAAAAACATATTCAATTCCGTCAATGAGTTCTCCAACAATATGTCGAATCAAGCTACCTGTAATTTCGTTTCGAATGAAAACTACATAGATGCCTTCCGATATTTTGTCAAATCTCAAAAAGCCTCACATTGTAGGTGAATATCAAATCCAGTGGGGAAAAAAACCTAAATCACTAACATAGATTATGATTATTTTATTTTATTCACTGCATGTTATCATAACAGACGACTAATGTGATGCCCCTTTGAAGAGATTGCATTATATGTTTACTGCTTAGGGAACACTCAGGAAAACCAAACCTCCCCATGCCATTACACGCTAAGAATATACTGTTTGTAACACAATTTACTCTTGTTGCTTCAATGGCTACAGACGGATAATAAGAATGCAAATTTTTTTTGGTGGGGGGAGGAGGATTCTTTGACGTGAGATAAAGGACGTGAAACAAACCCTTTGATGTGCCGATTCACTGACTGATGTTGTAGCCTCGATGTCCAGCCATGAACCCGACCCCCGAGTTCCCTGTATCCTCCCTCCGAGTCCTACGTACTTGTGTTTGAAGGACGCCCGCTTGTGATGGTGTATACTGTCATTGTTGGATATCAGCTTCTGAATAAACTCAAATCCCTCCTGTCTAATAATGAAAAACAAATAAAAATAAAAAGGAACACTAAAGAGTAGAATGTTACATCGATTTCTTGTCTGTCAGAAACAACAAATGTCAAATAAAATCTATGATTGTTTTTTTTCAAAATGGTTATTTTGCGTGTTAGCAACAATTAAGTCCTTATAAAAACAGTGACAACTGAAGGGTCAATTCATAATGTCATCTCATCGGAATGTCATAACAGCAGCATGACACTCCAACCGGTCGCATTAAACTGATGACGCATTATGTTGTTTGTTTATAAGTTGTTCAACGAGGCATCATCCCTCATGGCCATGGGGTAATGACACTTGGTGACAATAATGTGACTTGATTCCAAACGTTGCAATGACGTCAAACAATTGGTGATTTGTATTTCTCCCACCCTTCACATGTGTGTCTCCCGTTTTAGCCCAGAAAAATAAGCTTGTCTTCCCCTAGAGGGAGATAACCTCGTGCCGATTAGCACGTGTTCAATTGTGATGTCATCAAAAGTGAATGACGATATGCATACCCCACATGTGTTTTTGTTTACAATCATGGCAGACTACTGTCGGTGGAGCTGTGACTGAAATAATAGGATGGGAGAAAATTAATCATCTCCTACCTTGAGGGTGTAACAGAGAAATACCCAACCCTACGGGTGATGTTTTGGGTTGTCTAACACTGGGCAGAGCCTCGGGTTTGAAAACCAAAAACATCACCCCTCGGGTTGGAGATTTCTCTGTCACACCTTCAAGGAAGGGGAAGATTCTATTAGCCTTTCCAAAGGTCCATACATAGAAAGAAAATAAGTTAACACCCATGATTCTGCAGGAAGACGCAGTGGGTATTCTGTTACCCTTAAACCCCGAATGCAATCATCACTGCAGAATCAATATATTCAAAGTCTACTGTTTATACAGCAACACAACGGTACAACGTTAAAGTCATACTGCTCCATTGCCTCTTCTCTGTACCATTCAATAAGGGGTGTAATATTGCAGCTTGATAATATTTTTTAAGTTAACGTCTAGGTAATCCGTATTTTGTCAACTGTGTCAAAACTAAGTCAAATTGCAAAACAGCGAGAGTCAAATGGGGATATGAAAATTAAACTAGAGTTTAAATGAAAGTTGAGGAAATTAAAAGATTGTTTAATGTGAATCCACATTAACACTTAATGTTAAACTCTCAATGAAAAACCGACGTGAAATCCCTTATCAGCACAGCAAGCCGGTAGCAATCTGTTGTTACCTGTACGCCGACTTTAGGGTCATTTCGAGAGGCGTAGGCGGGGCAGTGTCCGCGACCACTGTAGAAACAGAGATTAAAATGGTTAATAGTCTCTGTTTGTCGATGCATTTCGTCCTTCAAACAAGGCCATATAAAGAAGTGTTCCGACGGCAAAAGAAGTGTGCAAAATATAAAATATGTAACCTCCCTATACGGCTTTTCACAAATCTTCTTGAAATCTGGTGGAATTAATTATTATATCATGTAATTGTATTAAAAAATGAAATCAAAATTGAAAGAGTTATGGCCCTTTGGCAACCATAGTGTTACCCGTGTCTGTCGCGTCCAAACTCCTGGACAAGACACTACCGAATATTTGAAAGATTTTCATGAGATTGTATTCAGTGGCCAGGTATCAGAAAACCATGGATCAATCCTTTTTGCACGGTCCAAACAACACTGTTACTATTTATAAGCCAATCCTTGCTATTTTATCACAAGATCAATTGTCATCAGCTCACAAACTTGAAGGACAAGAGAACATTCATGTCTTGCAGGTGTTCTCTAGTATATTTTTCTTTTTTAAATCTTATCCGGAGGTAACCTGCCTTAATTTTCGACTGACCAGAGAAGCATTGTCATCTACTTGTGATTTTCACGTGCTTGGTCTTGTTCTTTCAACCGTCAGAAGTCAAATAAAATATGATTTTATTCCATATTATGTTTTCCGTCTCAGCGTCATTGAGTACGAGTGTGATTTTCCTGTTTTATTTTCAAATTTTTATGTTTTAAAACAATAATGTATTGAAAGTGTTCGAAACATAACTCAATGAATCTAAATGAATGGTGCATGTAACCAGCATATGAATTGCAGCCGAAATGTAAATATTAGGCAATAAATAATAATAACATAGTATTAAATGTGGATACACATCTAAATCTATGTAATATCGTCAACTTACAGGGCATGTTTTTGAAGAAAAACATACATGTATATCAATAAAAGTACGTACCAAAGACGAGAAGCAGCCCCACAAAAACCAACATAGTAACTGATGGACAGGTAGCAGACAATGACAGCCGTCCTAGATTGTTCCGTCATGACATACATTTCACATTTATTATCAATGACCTATTTTTCTAAACATATGCCCTGTTCCCACCTGAGAAGGTGGTACTAAAAACCGAACACTTGTGCAAGTTTCTAAATAGAGTAAAACAATTGGTTAATAGAGTTAAGCGTCCTGTTAACAGATAAGGGCATTTAGCGACGCGCCTCCAGAAGATGGTTTGTTGGTAATAGGAAACAGGTTACGCACTTATTATCTATAAGATACTGATATGAGCATATGTCCTGATCTCATACAAGTAATATTGGGAATTTGTTTTTGTGCCCATTACAAAATATATCTGCTACACCAATGGCACTATTTGAAATTCCATTATTTATTTACTTATTCCTAACACCCTTCAGTTTCCAAGCGTCTTGCTCGTCAATATCACACTTTTAGGGCAACAATTTTTTAACAAGGAAGACTATGGGCTCTGTCCGCTGACCAAGACAAGCCAAAATCCTTAATAATTGAAATTTACTGTTCTCTGCCTTACGTTCAGCTATGAATGGATCCTTAGCGACCGATTAGCTCGTCATCAGTATAATGTGACTTTGTTAAGTGACACAGTTGAGTGCCATGTACTGTGTCATTTTTATCGCATTTCAAAGATCATCAAGCTAGCTGTTACAAGGATCTTAAACCCCCCAACAAAACTTCTTCATAAGCGCGGTTTTGTTTTGTTTTTGTATAGTGTTACGTCCTATAAACAGCTAGAGTAATTTAAGGACATGCCTCTACAGGTGTTGTGTATGCCCGCATGTTTGTACCATGTATGTGTGCTGGAGGCAGGGTATGTCGGTGTAATAGATGATATCGCGACCAGTGGAACTCTTCAAATAGGAGGGGATTAAACTGTACTCGCTGGGGCAACGGTCAACATGGCAGCGCCAAAACATTCAGATACGAATTTCCACGATCTTCCATGTAATGAATTGGGTAATATTTTAAAGTCAAAAGGTATCACCTACTCCAAATAAGAAAATTGGGGAGCTAGTACACCTATGATAGCAAGCAGACATGTTAAATTGGCCAGATATTGAAAAAGAGGGCGAAGCTAAAGCGTCACAGCTGTGACGGACCGTCAGCGGCGTACAGATAATCGTGTGTTACCTTTATGTCAATGAAACGTCAGAAGGCTTGTTTTGGAATGTCATCACTAAATGCATTTGATATGACCTCTATTCTTGTGAGTTATTTTCGTTGGTGCAATACAGTGAAGTTGGGGCATATTGTTTACACATGGCAGATAGTTTGCCCCCGTATCCTCGCATTCTCTCGCGAGACTTGTACATTTTCCAGCAAGAACTCTTCGAAGGGGAGTAACTCGTGGATGGTCGCGATAACACCTATTACCTGCTCGTGATAGCGCGGACCTGACGCCGACATAATAGTGTTATCTCACTGAAATACCATGCCGAAGGCACCCAGCACAGCATTCCACACGGTCACATACAGTTCGTATCTACAACGAGTGAACCAGTTGTTGCCATTACTCTAAATGCTGAACGTTAAGCAGGGAATACCAACTACGATTTGTAAGAACTTTGGTATGTCCTGGCCTGTGGACACAACCTATTGTATTCCCTACCCTGGCAAACATTGGCACAGTGACAATAACGTCATCCCATGAAATAAATAGTATTGTGCTTCACACATGAAGTAAAGAACTCCCATTGCATAACATGCTGCTCTTGGGATCGGGTAAGGGGCATCTTGCAGTTGATTTCACGGTTCATTGAACTCACGTTTGTGTTGAATAAGGCATGATACCAATATAAAAACTGTGAATAATAAATTATAACGGTAGAGTGTAAATCAATAGTAACAAACATTCGAAATGAAATATCACGTTAGAACTGTAGATAATTTAAATAAGTTATTAAGTTTATGGTCAACACGGGTTAAATATTTAAGAGTACTATTGTATAAAATTAAATCATAATGTGGCAGCTTGAATTAAATAAAACAGACCGCGTCACACGAAGATATCAATGAAAGCTGTATTCCGTGTTCCGTCATACATATTTATTAGATGAGACCAATCATATATTTCGACAATATCAGTTACATGTATCGTTATTCAACTGTGTATATACTTTAATTTGTATTATGTTTACGGCCCTAACAATTTCACTGCACACACGGGGCATAATGATTAAATATTCTCTTACTCTGCACAGGTGTTTCCACCCTTTTATCGGTGGGAGATATCCTTTTCTCTTACCCTGGACAGGGATATCCACCATTTTACCGGTGTGAGATTTTCTTATCTCACCCTAGGGTTGAGACAAGCTACACGTGTTCTTTGCACGTTCTCAACAATTGTATGACGTCACAGCAACAATACCATGACGTCACGGCAACAATACAATGACGTCACGTCGATAATTCAGCCGCATCACATCAACATTGTATTGCATTGATGTAACGTCTATATAAAATACAAGGGTAAACAGGGTAAGAGAAAAATAATCATTCACCCCCTTTGGAGTGAGACAGGGTAATCTCAACCCTCGGGGTAAGATTCTTAAGCTGTCAAACACTCGGCAAGTCTCATGTTTGACAACTTAAGAATCTTACCCCTCGGGTTGAGATTACCCTGTCTCACCCCCAAGGGGGTGAAATATTCTATTAGTCTCACTCTAGGGTTGAGACGGGGGATTCCCCTTTTCCTATCAATGTTATGACGTCACGTCAGCAATCCATCAACTTCACGTAAAACCCTGAATTTAGCCTGTTACGTTCATAATTACAATATAAATATGATACACAACTGGTGAATAGGGTAAGAGGAAAGGAATCAATCACCCCATTGAGGGTGTGATAGGGGAATCTCAACCTTCGGGGTTGTCAAACACTCGGCAAGGGGGTGAGATATTCTATTAATCTCAATTTGGCCAATACGATGTTACCCGACTATCATAGTCGTGTTTACATGGAAAAAGTACCAAATCGAATTCACCCGAATTTCAAAAATTCGCTAGTTTTTCTGAATATGAATGTAACGTTCCTTTTTCATATGTTTTTCGGTATTCATTTAGTAAAAACCACATTGAGGAAAATGATGTTCATGAAACAGAGACAAAGGGCAGTAAAAGAAAGTAAATGATTCCACGAGGAAAAAGTTTGTCAACAATCTTGTGCAGGCTGGAATACCAACACCTGAAATTGCACACTTGAGTTATGGGTGTTTGTGGGAGGGGGGATTTTATAAATGCATATTCAGTGTCGTGTATTATTAAATCAACAAGATAATTTCACTCACTGTGTTACCAGGGCTTTCAGCCCACCCTTGCCGTTGAGCATTTTTAAAAGTGAAACAATACTTTCATTGAAATTTGGAAGGTCAAATATATGTCATACATGTCGAATACAAATATCCTGACAAAACCGGGAGTCAAAGCTCAATATGGAGAAAAATACTCTAAAGAGTTAATTGGAGGCCTACTTACCATCTAAAAGAATGAAAATCATGTTCTCGAGTATTCTATTTCAACAAAACGTCCTATTCGCTTACGTCCGGCACAAACAGGTCGCATACTGAGAGTGCTATTTAGATATCCCAATTTCTTTATTTTGAGCAACAATTTGTTTCAGGTACATCATTATTAAAACAAATATCCACTGTAACAAGAGTAACGCGGGACAGCACAATATAAGCCCGTCGCGTGTCATATAGTATTATAAACTTTCTTACATTGAAATAAGGTCTGCATCATTCTAAGAGTGGTTAGCTGACATGCTATAAAAAATGTGGGAGAAAATCTCCGGACAAAAATATCCGTTGAAAAATGTAGAAGGTGATTGCCGGACAAACAAAGGTTTACGCCGGACGGACGGACGGATAACCCCATACCATATTACTCCCGTCAAATTTGACGGGCGTATACAAATGGGAAAACATAGAGTCCATATGCCTATCGCAGGAGTTAGTTTTGCCTTCACCATTTCGATAATAATACTATACAACAATATTTTGTGACTATGCCCAAAATTTTTAGTTGCCGACGACTTTGTTGTTTTGTTTTCTCCGCAATACCAAGGCAAACTGTTTCTGTCATAAGAACATAGAAAGACCAGTTGCTCATTTAAGAAACTTCTTTTAGGTGTAAAACTATTGACTGGTTAACCCGGGCAGGTTCGGAAGCAATAAAAGGCCTGTTGTATTCCAACGCATGTCGTAAGAGACGAATGATGTGCCCCTTCCTCTGTAGAATCGGTAATGGTTTCTTTCACCAATATACCCTGCCACTAGCATGACTCTATAGTAGAAAATAGCTTTTACACTACTTGTAGAATGGTGACATCAGCATTTCAACGTGTTTAGCTTTGCTGTTTGTAACGTCTTTGTTTACGTTTTAGCCGATTAATGACAAAAAATTATTATCTTTTGTCATACTGCAAAGAAAAATGTCGCACGGTAATTGGTCGAATTGCCAAGGTACCTGAAGCTATGTTAGTATCCTTGCCGGGGTACATAAGAGCACGCGCGCCTGTTGTAAGGGATATAACTCGAAGATTCGAATCGAACACACCGGAGAACGTTCGTCTGCTAATGTCAACATTCAACAATATGGCGAAACGGTTTTTCAAAAATCAATCGTTACGAGTTGTAAAGGAACTGATTTGTTATTTAATGTTGTTTAAAAACTATATTGTTGACTTATTATAATTTAATTTTTTAATAAATTGTTGGAATTATACAAACATTGTTTTTTCTGTTTTCCCGTACTACCGCCCTACACAGTACATTATGTATCTATTTTCTGGCAAACACGAGTCCCAACCTATAAATGGCTTTGCAGTATGACAAATTCGATATACAGCCAAAGACCTGTATAACTAATAATGTAGAAGGGGAGTAGAGCATTGGCACACAAAGATATCTTATAGCGTTAGGTATTGTGTAAAAAAAGTGTACCGTCGCTCATTGGACGCTTAACGTCAAGCAGTTTATAATAAGTTATAAGAACGGACGGCAGACAGATAAAGGATGACGGCTGCACCATCATATAAGCTCACAGATATTTCAAGTAAGATATGACACTTATGACACTTGCAATGTATATAAGCGATAAACAATTATTGACATTTGGATTTGCTCACTCAGTCATTGGCTCAAATGAAGTAATATCAGGCCAGACAACGAAAATGAGTACACACTCGCACAAAACAATACCAAAATCATACTAAATCATGGAAAATACAGATCTCCATCAGTGTACAAAAATTGTCAAATTTTGAAGTTTTTTATGTGGCAACACTAAATATTGCAATACATCACAAAAGACAGAAAAAATGTACCTGAAACAAATCTTTAATAACTCATCAGATAAATTATACAACATTCTCGTTTAGATATTTAGAAAGGATAACCGCCGATAAGCATAGTCATGCTAATAGAATTGAAAAGAACGTACACTCAATAACAAGACATTTTCGCCGCAGTTAAATTATCGCCTTTTTTGCTCCCCGTAGCGAGTTGATAATATATCATAACAGATAACATTAATAAACAATATAATATACATAGTATTAAAATGTGAAGGGCGTAATGTATACCGGGCGAATATGGATTTTACCGGCGAAGGGCGAAAGTTTGAATGGGCGAAAAGTTTCCGGTATACAATACAGTATTAATGTAACACTACAGATATGAGATTTTGGTGATAAGTCTGCTTGTTTTGATCGTAAAGTACGTTAATGCAAAGCATGTCATTGATATGAGTTCGTCAGTCTAAACGTTCCAAATTGAATCATTGTTCCATCCGCACATCAAAATTAATCTATGAACCTATGCAAATCGACGTCAACATCCGTTTATAATTCCGTTTGCATCTACATGGTTGGAAACGCTTGACAATTTTGATTGCATAGTATACGTCGTTGAATTCTCTCCTGCCACTTCAGGTAGTGAATTTGGGATGCTGAGTTTATGTTCGAGTGACATGTAATTCTGTGGAGGCAGTCCGACACACGCCCTGCAAAGAAAGCATAGTGATATAACATCAATGATAAACATATAAAACGGTAGGCAAGGGTTATGGTATTCAGGAAAAGCTACTCGACGAAGACAGAAACTCATTTTGGTTGCTTTATCTTATATAAAGAAATTAAAAATACTGAGTGGAACTTGTGAGTATAACTGATGCAGCGGCACCCTTCACCTCAAAATGTATTTTGTACACAAAATTCCTGTTGATTTAATATATATTTTTATTCTCTTCGTCTGAGGATCAGATTATGGAATGATGGTTGAAATCCCCATGTAAATTACAGAGATGTCATGTAAGGTTTCGTACTCGCACCTATCAAGGCCCCCTTGGGGCGAAGGGGTCACTCACTTTCTAAGTTAAGATTTTTAATACTCAACGCTTGTTGACGTTTATCCCAAGTTTCCATCAAAATCTAACAGTTTCTATGCAAAAGTCGAAAATATCACTGTTTATAAACGACGAGTGACGAAGGAAAAAGGTATCCGCAATGTCACCTTACTGGCTTAAATGACCTTACAATTAATTTTCTTACATAGTTTTACCAGCACAAATAATCACACCAGGCAAACTTGAGTAAATTACAAAACGATAATTGTGCTCACCTGAATATGTTCTCTATACATGCCCTCTGTTTGAAGAGGGCGTTGACTACTGGAGTGCCCGGCGGAACAAGTGGGGCCTTGCACAGATAACTGAGGATAGATAACACACTATGAAAGCCTTGATAGGAAGCCTGCCCCTCGGACTTGAACGAAATTCTTTTGCACATTTCGGCTAGGATGACGAGGTCGAGGATGATCGGACTGGCTAATAAAGAGTCCTCACACGTGTTGTGGAGTGAGATAGTATTTAGACCGCCCAACATGATCTCTGATGTGTACTCGTCTAAGGCTCGCTTGCTGTCTCCAACATATGGCACGTATTTAATGACGACACAGTGGTCAGGCTTCTGTCCCGTTGGGTAGAGAATATTATTCGATTCAACCATGTCATCAACGACATTTGTTTTCGTGATCTAAAAAAGACAATAAAGAATTATTAAACATCTTAACAATGCATGTAACTCTTCTTTTCGAACTCGTTAACATCTAAAAACTATATCTATAAATCAAAGCATCCTTGTTACGGCGTATAGAAAAGAGATTAAATAATTGATATAGATCATTAAACTCCTCTAATTGTTCATTACAGTCCAATAAAACAAGTTTTACTGCAAATGGTTCATGATATGGTATGCAATTATCTTCTCTGTTCAATAAATATAAATTTGCATTTGTCTCGGCGCCTCTTTTTATCGCCCGAATTGCCGTTTCATTGTCTGACATCCTACATGTACAGGTTTACGTCAGTGGTGCTTTGTTAGAGGATATATACAAAGAAACCAAAAAGTATGCTGCAACTCTTGGGATCTTTATCAATTCTTTTCTCACAAGGATTAAAGTCACAAGGAAAAGTTTTGGTCATAAGAAGTCGAGAGCACTTTCAATCATTTTCACATTATATTAACTTTGTGTAGACTACAAACGTTTCTGATACGATTACAATCAATAATAAAAATGTATCTTTTCAGTCAAGTAATTGTAGTGTATTAATGAAACTCCTTGAATCATGAGCACTTGCATGATTTTTTTTTTCAAACAGTTTATTTATCTCGTTTGAAATATTAAATATGTGCTTGTTTTGAAAATATGGATGTCAGTGTTAATATGTGCACAAGAAGGGTGCTACGCCCGACACACTTGTCATGTCCACCCGCAATAGGGGCTGAAATACCGGAAGTTCACATGTTCAGTTTGTCTGATAAATCCATGACGTACAAATGTACCTCTTTAGACCTGAACTGTTTCGGCGCCGAAAGATTCATTCCGTCGTTGTTGCCAAGGTGATTATAGCTGACAATGGAAACTGGCTTGATGCCAGCGCTCACTAGAAAGTCAACCAACACCGACTTGATCTTCGTTTGACCGGATTTGAAATCGTCTCCGGCAATAAGTACACCGTGGGTTTCTGCCAGTTCTATCAGACCTGGAACAAATGTGTTCTGCGGTGACCCGTTTATATATGTACACTGAAAAATAGAAATTATTTGCATTATATAACATACAATATTTTGGAAAAAGGTTATAATTTGTATTATATTAAAGTCATTCCTTGAATAACTTCATCGAGTCAGAAATTATTGCCTGGACAAACAATTCTGACGGACGGTTACTGCGGCAACCACATACTCCGTTGTTGCTGTTGTTTGTGGGGTTGGTTTTTTTTTTTTTTTTGGGGGGGGGGGGGGGGGGGGGGGCTTAACAGAATCATTACTTCATCCTAGTATGCTTAAGGCCATATATCATGACACTTGGTGTCTTGGGTTTTCAGAATATTCTTCTAATGTTTAAACATATTTGATCCCTGTGTTTCTTTTGAAATTGAAATACTTTAATAAGTTTAAAGGTCATAGGGGTCAAATATGTTGAGTCAAGAAACGACGTTTTTTCTGAATAGCCTTGACACCTTGGATGCTGATATTGTAGCATACGTAACGTCATCCATTCATGATACTATTGATATAGCTTTTGTAGAAAATATTTTATGAAGACATGCATTTTCCTTCTGATGGAAGAAATACAGACGAGTGTGTATTGTGTGTTGTTACTGCCGAAAAGAATAATGGCAATTGTTTTATGCATTATCAGTTTACTATATATACCAACATATTATTTCACTTATCCAAGTCAAATAAAAATGCAAGGATTGTTTAATATATGTAATGTAAAAAATTTCAAAAAGCTTTGTAAATTCATAGAAAAGCTTGAAAAAATATTAACTTAATTTCTGTACTATTTGTGTACTTCTATATGTATCTATGCTATGTACAATGTTGTAATTGTGTACATCACACGCCATGTATCATACTTACTATATGTATGTGACCTCTTGTTACACACGTAAGTGTGTCGGAGTGAATAAATAAAACTTAAACTTAAACTTAGAACTACATAAAATGACGAATACATATGTATATCTCTGATCTCGTAAGCTTGAAGATTGTGAGATATTCAAAGAGAGGTTATTGTGTATGAATGTAGGTTATTGAAAGAATGTACTGGATTAACTTAACTAGGTTCGGGGGAATAACAAACCTGCTTTATCCTGCTGCATATGTATGGTAAACGGCGACTAATCTGGGGCCAAAACATAAGCAGGGGTTTTCTTTAATGTCTTCTACAAAGGCGACATGGAGGAGACAAAAAAAACTGCTACCCCCACCCCCTTGCAACACTTGGGATCTTTTCCGTGTCCTAGGCATCCGACCTCATATGACACTGACAGTTGTGAGGACGGTAACCCCCCAACAAACCGAAATTGGTTAACTTGATTACAAACGTTAAATTACTGAGAATGGCATCAGGCATAGAAACTTGAAACAGGCGGATAGTATAATGAGTTTATTCATAATTCGATATACTTACACCCTCCAGGACAGAGGCGATACCAAACATTGTTGATGGAGATATTTCAGCGGCATTCATCTCGACAGACTGAAGAAGTACGTCAGCGGTGTCATTTAGTCCTACCTCGACAGCAGAGAAACGTTCGGTATTTGCTGTCCATAAAATAATGACGTCATCCAACTCGTTCTTGCTTTTAAAATCTCGAATATCCGCTCGAAGTTTCTCAATTATTTCTGCTTTTGTTCCAGTCAAAACATTATCAGCTCGCGCCCTCTGATTAGCTGCTATGAAATCCGGTATGTAGACGGATGGGCGTGGTTTTAAATGTTCCATATATGGTCGTAGCTGATTTTGTAAATTCCAGTCAAGGACTTTCGCACGTTCCATAGAGTCTGCTAAATTTAATGAGGATATATCCCATCCTGAAAAAAATAGAATATTTTAACATATGAATATAAAAATCATATCATCAATACATGTACATGTAACTGGTGTATAGGAAGTTGTCGTCTTTTTCTGAAGGTACATTCAAGAAAGTTAAAAAATCCTACTGTTTCCATTGCAACATTTGGAATTTACATCTTTTTCTTTCTCACTTACCGAATCTTATTTCGGAATTGTCTCTCCCGACATTCGTCTTCCTTTGACTTTAGCTTTCATTAGGACGTTAAACCCCAAACAAACAAATACCTATCATACCTACGTTATAATTGTATACAAACAGAGCAGCTCTTCTTTAGCTAAGGAGACACATAAGCCAGTTGTTATTTCACGACCTATATTAACGTTGATAAAAGTCAATATTTGATGAAACACCAGAGCAAATAACCTAAATGTTTTTGTTTGTTTGCTTGTATGGAATTTAATATACTCGCAAAACCCGAAGTCATATATGAAGACGAGTGCCGAAGGAGACATCAACGAAAGAAAAGTGTAGGTAATATTGACAAGACAGGACAATTACGCAAGTGATGCATCGGGGCCAGACGACCAATATTTGATTCTTCAATATTTTCTAGATAGAAGACACGTTGTATCCGGTGTCAAAGACTCATACGAAGTGTTATTTAAGTTAGAATATGGCTCCAGGACGTGACCTTACGTTTCATCGTTGGCTACCCGGATTAACAGGTTAGTATGTATTTCTTGGTCATAACAATTTCAAAAAGGTTTTGAATCATACATTAGTTATGTTAAACCAATGATATGAAAGGTTTTAATTGTGAAGCCTCTGAGATGCTGTACCCATGATTTGACTGACCAAATTCTATTTGTCATACATTCTGCATGTTATTTTTGTTACAATTCGTGAAATATTTTACTACAGCCGTGAACTATTTTACTACAAGAACAGGAAAATGAGCGATTGGAAATACCACACGAGCAGGGTGTGATGAACAATAAATATATATATTCCTATAGTTTAATATTATTTCGAAGCAATGGTTTTCTGTATTTAGATAATCAAGAATGATTCGTTTGATTTGGTTGGGTTTTAAAGGGTTTAACGCCCTATGTTCAATGCATGGGTTTGCGTGTGCTGGAGGCGTTATGTTGGTAAAATTGGCTCCGTGCGTTTTGCCTCCAGTACACATAAATAACTCACATGGATGCATGTCTTTCAATCACCTTAACTGTTAATAGGACGGACGTTAAACAAAACCTTCTAATCCTCCTTGCGATATCGCTCATCTGATGCCGACATTATAGTGCTACCAAACTTCGAATAACATGCTGAAGGCACCCAGCTTAACATTCCTCCTGGTCACATTTTACGGCTTATATGTATTCCAATAAAAAAAATACCGTTTAGACCGTTAATTTGTTTGTTGTAGTTAAATATTTAATTCAAAACTCACCATCAAATACTATGTCGTTCGGATCAACCATAGGTAGTATATTGCAGAACGGAATGTTCACTTCTCCGTCTGGACCTGATCCGATGCTCAGAGTAGATGCTTGGGTAAGGGATCCAAAGTAATTAGCACACTACAAGAATGAAGAAGGTTTCAAAACATTACATGTTGTTTTGTCAAAAAGAGGCAATTTGTGATCTTGGTCCCCCACTTTAACCCCTTATATATCGTAATCGTCTCTCAGCTGCTCTTAAGTTTCAACAAGCCCCCTAAATGATGCTGTTGTCACCTCAACTTTCAACCACCTGATAAATCATTTTCAAAGACCTCAATTAAAATTCGGAACTCATGATGACCCTTAATTCAAAGTTTATTTACTAGTATATACCTAGGTCATGCGGAGCTTTATTTCTCTTCTATTAGCTGTTGAGAGGAATTCCTACCTCAAATAAAGATATTGTTGTCATGCGAAACCACTAAAATCTTAGTAAAAAAAAACTGGTAATACATTTTAGCAATTTATAAATAAGAAAACAAACGAACTTTAGATGATGTGCCATTTTATAACATTCTGTGATTTAATCATCTTCTTGTGAGGCCGGTATACCTCTCCATACATAGTTAAAGAGAAATATAGCCCCGTACGACCTAGGTATATACATGATCTGCAAATAACATGTCATTTCGTAACATTCAGTTGGATCGCTTAAGAGATTGACATGTTATAAACCTTGTGAGTAACTTGTATCACTATATCAGCTTTGATGCCGTATTTTGACTTTGTTAACCTAGTTATGTACCTTTTTAATAGCTAATGTACAAGTTCAATATATATATATATTACATATTTATATTCTGCTTTTTGATAAGAGTATTTGAATATGACTTGCCAGGGGTTGAAATTTAGGGTGACTATACCATCTTTTAGGGGGCTTGTTGAACCTTAATTTCTTGCCATATCATATCCTTTGTTTTTTGTTTCTCCGTTTCATCGGGTACTGTTGGCGGTTTTGGGTCCCTATCTTGCCTATCTTTTACTGTCCTCACAACTGTCTATGTATATTTTGATGTTTATTTTGCTCTAAATTACCTTTAGGCCGTCCTTTGTTGGCCACGTCATCTTGTGTTTGTTGGCGAGTAAGGCCGCGGTGACCGTTGATCCGTTATTTCCTCCCCAACCTACCAACATACAGCCAAGACGAGGTGTGTTCCGGTCAGTGCGGAAGGTCATCTTGACATCGACTGGAGTTACCTAAGAATGCATATTATCATTTATTTACATGTAAAGTCATCAGCAGACACCATGGATACATTTATATGATACAATCTGAAAGGGACTTTTAATTTCTTCTAATTGTATTGACTTTGTATGTGTTTAAATGGCATACACATCAGTCTTAGCTTATTTAAGGCCGTTCATAAGATCTGCTGCCATTATAGCAACCCAATTTTTAGTGGAGGGGGAGACAACTCCCATTGATTTGTTAAAATAATCTTTGCCTCTTTATTTTTGGGATAAATTATTAGTAAATAAATCATGTATGTTTATTGACAACTTATCTTGCATAAAATCAATGAGGTATAGCCCATGCCTTCCTTAAGTATTTACCAATTAGCCATCCACAAACTGAATATAAAGTATAAGTTATCATAAACTATTACTGTTGAATATTCCAGATTATGACTTGGATTCATGGTGGAAAATGAATAATTATTTGCATGTATTAATGGTATTTCAATGAGATAGCACTGTGAAGTCGGCATCAGATCTGCACTATCACAAGGAGGCAAATACACCAACATAAAACAAACACGTATACATAACACACATGGAGGCACGTCCTTAAATGACCTTAGCTTTTATTAGGAAGTTTAACCATGTAAAACCAAACCAAACTACGATTTTATCTTTTGAGTTTTAGTCTCTGAAGCTCGATAAGGCTCTTGGTTGCCGTCAATCCAAACATGGCCAGAAACCCAACACTGTTTGATGTAATTTCTACTGATTTTGCAACCCAAAATGATTGTTCTATGTATCACGGCTATTGACATTAAGCTAAACAAATAATTGATATGAGAATATGATGATTTTGTTAACTTTGAGGGTGTGATTAATATTTAGAGCCAAACTAATGCATATGATTCTGCATAAAATGTGAATGCTTTATTTTAAATATATGACCTTAAAAGACGCATTCATAACATACATGATGGTACACCAACATTCTCTATCTCCGGTAGACATATTCACATGCGGGCATACACAATACACACGGAAGCACGTCCTTAAATGACCGTAAATGTCTATAGGACGTTAAACCCAATAAAACCAAACCAGAATTATCGAAAACACAAGCTGCTGCCACACTATCGTCATCTTTCGAACCATCAGTGCATCAATAGCTGCAGTTTGGATAAGATACATGGATTCTCTGATTTTATGCTAATGCCTTCTTTATACTATTGATTAATGCATATGCTAATTGTAATAATTGTATATCTACATGTATGTACTGTAAAGCGCTTTAGAATGATTTATGTTAGCTAGATACGGCGCTATATCAAATGTTGGATATTATTATTATTATTTATGAATAACTCATTTCAGCCATTCGCGCTGAAACTCTAATACTTTGTAATGTACACAGTGTGCCACAAACGAACAGCAACATGCAGCTGTTTCGTCCTTCTTTAGACCTCACCGCTGACGCTGGGGGCCAAAAAAAGTTGAAATCCATATAAATCTGAACCGTTGTTGAAAGTGCATAAAACCCGTATTTATATAAATTTAAAAAAGTAAAGGAGTTATGATTAATTTAACATTAACAACGAATAGATTATGTACTTTATGAACCATGCCACTACGTAAACAGATAACTGTAAACAAACTCAGCAATTGGTACCGCGAATATTATTAAATGAGTTGCAGTGTCACATTTTAACTCAAAATTCTACACTTTCTCTCCAAATGTCATACATTCATTCTACGAATAAGCGTCAAAGTATGTCCATGGTTATAATCACCTTGTATGACGACGGTCCAGTTTTCTCCACTCCACTTGTCTGGTAGACATAGTCCGACTCTATAAATCCTTTTGAGTACCGTACGTTAGGACTTTCCACTGTAAATGTCGTCATTGTCTCTTTGAATATCCTCAAGTCACTCTAAAACCGAAAAGAAATGTACAAATAAATATTTTTTAATAAAACACAAATAATGTCAAGGCGTTTACATACGTTTTGGAAGTAAAACAACATATTAAATATGTACAAAATGTTTATTACCATTAACAAACTTTACCAGTGAATCTTTTACCTGATTTGTTGACAAAATTGCACGTCTATCATCGAGGCAAATGACAATTGTTTTTGCATCTTCAAACAATGGATGACAGAGAAAATATTCAATTTATAGCTTTAAAGTTTTGGAACAGCGATCCAAACATAAATCAACGCCTCCTGTAATAATGACAATCATCTGTTGTCATCGTGTACATGTAATTATTTCTGTTTACAGCGTAAAAAAAAAAATCAATATTTATTCATGAAGAGTGGCATTTTAAATGTACCCGTTGCCTTCCAGAGCTGTTACATGTACCTCACTTCTGGTTTAAATATTGAGCGTTCGCCAAGGTGAGGAAGGCAATAGGTTCTGTCCCCAAGCCGGGACATACAGTATGTACCAAAGTCCTTGGTAGTTGTTATTAGCTGCTTAACGTTCAACATTTAGGGGGAAAGTAACAACTGGTTCGCATGTTGTCAGTATAATGTGACCGGGCGGAATGCTGTGCTAGATGCCTTCGGTATGGTATTTCAGTGAGATAGCACTATAAAGTCGGCATCAGATCCGTGCTATCACATAGTGGCAAATACACCAAAATACCATGTCTCCAGCACACATACACACTTGAACGCTTACACAACACACAAGGAGGCACGTCCTTAAATGACCCTTGCTGTTAATAGGACGTTAAAGAAATACAACCAAACCAAACATTCATGTATGCAGGGTTTGGGAAACAATTATGACATGATCAACAAGACAATGACTTCCCCTGACCATGAACAATCTCTAACATGTTACAATCAATTACAAAATAGACAAGTTGTTACATTGTAATCTGATATTTTGATTATATTACAAATGTTTGTGCACCAAGACATTTTGATTTTGAGGTGCTTTAATACAAATAAGTCAAAATGATGTTCGCGTGTTGTTTGCTTTTGTTGCAGTTTAAACAGTTACATTCCTTGATATTAATAATATCTTACAATAAACCTAGTGTAGCAGTTTGACCCCGATCGATACATGGATTTATCGACAGGAAAAAGAGAATATGCCTCTGACTTCGTCTTTGGTCAATATTTCTGTCCGAGGTCGATATGTTTCATTCATGTTCACCCATATATCGACATCGTCAAAAGGCTATAATTGTAAAAGGACCTGTTACAGGAACAAAAGAATTTTGCCCACAAAGCAATTTAATCATTACTGGGTTATATTTGTAGCTCCCTAAGACACGACCCATGAGATATTTTTAAAAAATGAAAAAGGTCCCCAGGGCCTGTGCTATGAACTATTTAGTGATGCCTTCCAAAGGTGTACGACAGGGTTCACTTTTTTGTCCAAAAAACTATCAAAACAATGTTTTACGCTATCAAATAATATTATATTATTTAAAGTAGGATCTGCTGCAAATTATGAACTCAAATATGTTACAAAAAATTGCATAATAAAAAAAATATAAAATCTTAAACTCTAAAAATGTTGGTATTTTCATACATTTTTTTGCTACATCAATTGCTTTACGGTAGTAAAACACCAATTTCCGGTTCTTGTACACCAAAAATCTTTTAGTATTATTTGGTGCATTATGTTGAGATACGATAGTGAAAATTTCAGAAAATTTGAGAACCGGTAAATTTGTCATATAAATGTCAAATTGTAGCAACGTCTATATCCAAATAAAATCCAACAACCTTATGATCTATAGTCATGTTTGATAATTTAACAATATGTCGCACCAATTTATTATCGCAACTGATCAAATTTTCATCAATAAGATCTGCTGCTCATGATGAGCTCAATTATAAAGCTAGATGTTGCAAAATAGAAAAGTTATGCAGTCTCACACACATAAACGTTTAGTATGTTATGTACATTTTTAGTTGTTTCGCATCTTTATGAAAGTGATATACATATTTCCGGTTTTTGTACACCAACATACTTTGGATATTATTTGGCACATTATGTTGACTGACGATAGTAGAAATTTCGAAAAAATCGGTATGCGGTAAATGTGTCATTTTAAGGATAATATGTGTATGACCAATGTCAAAATAAACTTCAATAACTTCAGGTTAATGCAAGTATTTCATAATTAACCCAAAATCATTCCAATATACTATCATGGTGGATGATATGGTTCATAGTAGAGTATGACTGTTTAACTAAACTAGGTAGTTAAAGGGGAGGAATACAGCAAAAGTTAGGCAATTTGTCAGAACATTTGGTGAACCAGTATAATATGTTGAAGATATGTTAACCCATCACATTGTTTCTTTTTAGGAGAGTTATAGTTTCCAATTCATGGATTGTTGTATTTACTGTTGTTGTTTTTTAATTTGACAACACGTAGTCAAAATTGAACATTCAATTTTTTTTCTGAATTTCTCCTTTCTCAGTTCAATCTTAGGTCTTATTATTTTTTCATATTATTCCCGACAAGTAATTGACCAGAAGTGCATCAAGTGTCCACCGATAAAAACTGATATTGACTTGGAGCGCGTGATTTTTGTTGAAGGACTGGGTGTTTCTAAAAATAGAATTATGATGTGTCTCCAAACAATGCACCGTCCCACTTCCGAAGCTTTTTTTTTCTCCCAGATTACTAACACTACTGTTTTGTAAAATAATAAAACAATTGAAACCTTTAACTTCGGTCAATACCTGGATTTATCAACCCGAGAAAAGATATATTGACCTCGGAATGCGTCCTCGGTTAATATATCTTTTCCCGGGTTGATAAATTCAGGTATTGACCTCAGCCAAAGGCTATAATTGAATAATATTTCTTTTTTGAATGCATTCATAATATGCAGTCTCTGAATTTGCGAGCTGAAGGCTGGACCGGTTTAGCATCTGTTAAATGTGCATAGTATCCTAGATAATACAGTATTGATGCGACATGAGTACACATACCCGATGTTCTCTTTCCTGCAGGACACACACAATAGTATGCCTTGACAGGATCCTCTGATGCGTGTAGGTCAAACTCTATCCAGACATTGTGATTTGCCTGCGACCTGTGGCGAGAGTGTATTTGGCCTCGGAGAAGGTCATCAGCATGTTGGTACACCCATATCTCATAATCACCCCCATCCGTCTGATGTTCTGTGATATAGTCAGGTGCCAGCTTCAGCTGATATGTACCACAAGCCAAAATCGCATTGACCTGGAGATATTGACGATTTATTTTGACATTGGTCATACAACATATTATCCTTAAGATGACACATTTACCCATACAATATATTATCCTTAAGATGACACATTTACCGCATACCGATTTTTTCGAAATTTCTACTATCGTCGGTCAACATAATGTGCCAAATGATATCCAAAGTATGGTGGTGTACACAAACCGGAAATATGTCTATCACTTCCGTAAAGATGCGAAACAACTAAAAATGTACATAACATACTAAACGTTTATGTGTGTGAGACTGCATAACTTTTTTATTTTGCAACATCTAGCTTTATAATTGGGCTCATCATGAGCAGCAGATCTTATTGATGAAAATTTGATCAGTTGCGATAATAAATTGGTGCGACATATTGTTAAATTATCAAACATGACTATAGATCATAAGGTTGTTGGATTTTATTTGGAAATAGACGTTGCTACAATTTGACATTTATATGACAAATTTACCGGTTCTCAAATTTTCTGAAATTTTCACTATCGTATCTCAACATAATGCACCAAATAATACTAAAAGATTTTTGGTGTACAAGAACCGGAAATTGGTGTTTTACTTCCGTAAAGCAATTGATGCAGCAAAAAAGTGTATGAAAATACCAACATTTTTAGAGTTTAAGATTTTATATTTTTTTTATTATGCAACTTTTTGTAACATATTTGAGTTCATAATTTGCAGCAGATCCTACTTTAAATAATATAATATTATTTGATAGCGTAAAACATTGTTTTGATAGTTTTTTGGACAAAAAAGTGAACCCTGTCGTACACCTTTGGAAGGCATCACTAAATAGTTCATAGCACAGGCCCTGGGGACCTTTTTCATTTTTTAAAAATATCTCATAGGTCGTGTCTTAGGGGGCTACAAATATAACCCAGTAATGGTTAAATTGCTTTGTGGGCAAAATTCTTTTGTTCCTGTAACAGGTCCTTTATAAGTAGTAGTCAAATAAATAAATCGAATATCTCAAAATTTTGTTTGATATTTTCCCATTAATGTTCACTGGATATCGATATTGGCTTCTATTCCTTGTTGTTTCTTTGAAGTCATTTATAACCGTAAAACTAATTAACATTATTGATTATTAATAAATCAGTAATGAGAAATTACGAAATTATAAAAACATGTTATGAACTGTGTAAACCTTGAACAACCATGTTTCGATGTAGGTATGGCATAACAAGTTCTTGGGATCCTGATAAACATTTTCGAAAAATGAGTTTGATATCCATCCGTACAAAAAAATAAAATGTGTATTTGTTTCCAAGAATAGGGCCTTTTCCTCTGCTTGCGAGCGGGGTGGGGTTGGGGCATATTCTTCCTTTGTAAAGCATTGTACATGCTCAAGACCAAATTTTGTTTAATTCCCTCCATTTATCAAAAAAGGAGAAGTGTTTTAAACGTTTATCATATATATTTCCCCTATTTGGTCCAGTCCCTCTGCCCTGGGGTCGCACCCTGTGTTTATACAACATTGAATCGCGATTGCCAAAGGATGCCCCATCCCACATTTAGTCAAAAGCAACCAAGCCTTTCACGACAAATATCTTTTTGAAAGAAAAAAATGGCAGACGATTGATGCGGCATCACAGTATAAGTCCTTTGGTCTTTTGGACCAAATGAGAGTTATCTTTAAATATCAGTATTTTTCTTGTCATACATTTAAAATTATAACGTTATCTGTACTTGATAACTGATTCAGTCGATTTAATAACTTGGTTTTTATTGAAAAAGGAGGTAACATCGTAATGCAGCAGCGGAAAAATATATTTCTGCTAGTTTGGTTATTTAAGCTGATAGTTATTTCGGAAACAGAATTATTATTATAAACTCTGTGCATACATAAATGAAGCCAGCACACATTTAGTTTGAAGATGAAAAGCACCTATAAGTCTGGTTTGATTTAGGAGACGCATGCAATCTTAACCGTTTACAAGTATAAACCACTATAAAGTTAAATACCTACCGGTAAATACATATAGAATATATGTAGGTTAGTACACGTGGTAATAACTGCTTAAGTACCAACGTTATTAGAAAATAAGTAAGCTTCCCTGATAAGCTCGCGCTGCCGAAAAACAAATAAATATGTGAACGACAAGCATAATAAAATTCCAGATGTGTTTAATAAAACCCGTTGATCTATTGAGAAATGGTTTAAATGACTACCTTCAGACTGGCTACCAGACCCTAAGTTTTTATGAAAAATTTATCAACTGTATTATACTACAAGCTTATCTCCCCTAGTTTAGAACTCAGACATCCAAATGATCAAAATAGTTTGACTTAAAACGTTTTTCTTCATAATTCAATATTCAAGAAAAAGTGGCCAGTATACCCTACCTTTAGCAGGATCGCCTTTGATTATCCTTCGCTGTATTTTAACACAATATACTGTCCTATTTATAGTATCAGTCCACCGCAATGTCCTGTTCACTAGAACTTTCGGTGTTATTTAAATAACAAATACATGCCAACCATCTTAACACATAAACTGTTTCCATCTTCACAGATCACATATACAAACGCATATTAAAATAAGTATGTGAAAGTTGTTGCGCAATCAGTTCATATTAAGTTTAAGATTAAATTGAGGACATGAACATCGATATTTAGATTGTGTGGTCTTTTATGCACATCTCGTTAAGTTAACAATGCTAACGAACTGTAAAACAACTGATTGGTTCCTAGCGGATCAGACCATACCACTTCTTGACACGCTGTATCGTACTATGTGGCTAGTTACATCATCTTTATTGATTCGTCATATAAATATTAACACCGTTGCTGTGTACCAATATATTTAATATTACGTAATATATCACGCAATATCTCTGATATCATTGTTATAACGATAAATGTTAGAACATGAAACATGCCGACTAGTTATCTTTACATTTACATCATGCCTGCATGGACAAACCCACGTGGAGGGAAACCTTTGACCTTTTGACCCGTTCTCGAAAGATCGAATGTATATTTAAGCCCTTTCTTGTATATAGTAAGTAAACATTCAGATTCTAAACAGATGAAATTAATATATAAACATTATACGTTTTACACATAACGTAAACACATTTGTTTTGGTCTTAATCAATTTCATTATTTGACGAAAACAAATGACTGTGACATGAAAAACTCAATTAATATAAACAATGTAAACCCGGATATGAAACAATACATGTCACCAAGTATCACTATGTGTACCTACCTCAGAAATGTTTCCTGCAGCAGTGTTGTCAAAGGGAGATACTCGAAGTGTATAGACGCTTGTCGCCGATCACGCCACACTCAGGCGTTGTACTACACATGTGTTGTTTAGCCCTGGCAGGCGGACATTATACACACAGGTGATGCACCTTTAATAATATGGTAATAGCTGCAGCACGCGAAAAATGGATTACACGGTACAGCTGTTTCCTCGTTCTAGGACCCATCGGTAATGCTGAAATTGAATGCACGACTTAATTACACCAAGGAAACATATATACAGACTTAAATTTATTTGATCATTCATACCGTTTTACTCTAATAGCTTGTAGGACAGTTTGTAACATGCATACGTAGAAACTATTAATGAATCGTAGATGAGGAATTTAAACGCAGAAAAAACTATCAAATAAAAACGCTCGACAATTATAAAGAAAGAAAAGAAAAACATTTCATACATGTTATTTCAAGTAGCAAATAAGCAAGGGCTTGAGTACCGGGGTCGTCCTTTATAAATGCATGTGTTGGTTACCCAGTGGCATTTTATATTTATAGGTAATCCTCGGAAAGGAGCCCCGACGCAATCACTCGTACTGCCGTGGCTGGGGCCCGGGGTCATAATTCGTACCAAACAAAACACACAAGTACGTTATACTTAACATTTATCTAAATCACACATTATTTCATGCTGGTAATCTTAATATACTATTTACTATTACCACTTTTCACTATTGGGATTGTTTAACCAAGCCTCAGTCCATTTACGATACAGGGCCAACTACATATCGATTAAATACCACATTCAAGCTAACAGTTTTATCAACTGTTTGACAAATACATGCATTTGTTTTATAAAGTTGGGGTCAATATACATATATTGCGCGTGTCTGTGTGTATAAACGGATATAAATCAAGTGTGTTTAATCGGATTCCAAACGCTTGCACATCATGCTGGGTCGGTTTGGTTCTATTTTGTTTAACGTCCTATTATCAGCTAAGGTCATTAACGGACGTGCCTCCCTGTGTGTAATGTAAGCGTGTACGTATGCTGGAGTCGGTACCTTGGTGAGATTGCCGCCTTGCAGTAGCGCCAATCTGATGCCGACTTTATAGTGCTACCTCACAGAAAAAACTATGTCAAAGGCACACAGCTCAGTATCTGATGCCAACTTTATAGTGCTACCTCACAGAAATACTATGTCAAAGGCACACAGCTCAGTATCTGATCTTGTTATATCATACTGACAACGGGTTAGTAGGTGTACAGTGTGCAATATTGTATATCGGGATGGGCATTATGTACATTGATTACAGAAATGTTTTGCCTGTTAAATGAGAGGGAGAATTCAATATAAGATATTGAAATAATAATATAATAACATGTTTATTGTCTTGGATGTAGGAAGATATGATGGTTAGTTTCCTAAAAGTTAATCATACTTTCAATAGAGAAAATTATTCAGCGATGGAGAAAAACCTTTATATCGCCGGCTACTACCGAGATTATTTGTATTTTATTCTGAAAACCCCAACTTACATAGAAGAAATAAATAATTCTTCGGGTTACTCTTCTTTCTATCGAAAAAAATGTCAAACATCATCTTATCATTTTGAGATAGGTATGAAGATGTTAGTGTTTTTGTGTTTTTTTAATTTTATATGTCCACATGTCTAAACAATCCATCTGCATCTGTATGTAAAACAATTCAAAGACTGTAGATATGAGAAATACTCTCCCAAATAAAGTATATCCCCAGCTAAAATAGATGTACAGTATGCAAGTAAATAAATGAAATGCACGAATTTGGTGTTATATAGCTAGTTGGGAAGATTTACGTAACAAACACACATGTACATATGATCGCACATTCAAAATTTGGTTATAAATATAGTTAGCCAAAAATGAATTACGCTGCATCATACATTTTGTTTTCTTTCTTCTAGGACTTATCGTTAATGTTAGAATCAAAAAGTTGGTAATAAAAAACACTGTTAAAACAGGAGGAGGGAACATAAAGTCCCTATTTCATGGATTTCAAATTTTTAGAGGAGTGCTGGTTAAATTGAATTTAGTTAGTAAAGTGTGATTATTATGAACCCTGCCTCTATCCAAGAGATTACTTTGGCCATTAAGGTTACGGCAAATTATGAGTGATTAAATAACAAGTATAAACCATAAATGAGCTAAACATTAGGCCACATTTCGACTAAATGAAATTAATTATTTCACCACATACTTCCTGTGTAAAATGTTATCGATCAGTAGTCTTTAGGCGTGTGGTGTTGTCTGGCAGGCTTGATTCAAATTTACCGGTAACTTGAAGTTTATTAGTCGGTATGCTTAATAAGCTGACATGAACCAACGGATCTATGAAATCATTGTTTTATGCTATTTTTTATCACAAAACATTGCAACATTTGATATTAAAATGTTAAAGCATTTTACTGATGCACTAACACACCCTTAGTGAATAATGCTATCGGTCACTCCTTGGACAAAACTGAGATTTTCACCCTATAAAGAATAAACATGTAATTTCTAGGTAACAACTTGAAAACTGTTGGGGTCCTTACACTATAAATATATATGTATACAGTTACCGAGCATAAAGGTGTAGATACATTTTTGCTACAAGGATTATTAAAGGTGACTGGCTCTAACCTTTGGATCTTATTTGCAATAATGTGAATTGAGTAACTTTTTAAGGAGATTATTTTACCAGGATGGCTGAAACCTCAAGGTGAGCGATACAGGTCTTCTGGGGGGTCGCGATGGCCAAATGGTTAGATCGTCTGATAGCCTACGATCACTAGCCCTCTATCATTATATTCGCGGGGAGTCACCAGATACTGGCTGCAGGTAGGTGGTTCTTATTTAGGTTCTAAGGCTCTCACCCGCAACTATACCTGACACATAACACAATTCAAATCAAACAAGCATGATTGACCTCTTCATTGAACTGTCACATGTTATTATCGAAACTACGGACTATTGATTCTTCTCAATTGACGACCTTCTGATACTGGTCACTATTCGATCAAATGACATGAAATGCTTTATTTCTCCGTAAACTATGTTTTCCCTAAAACAGGCAAAACACTCTTCAGACTGTTTCCTTATTTATGCACTCGGCGACTCATTTCTTATCTTATAGATATATTGGTGTGATTTGGACAGTGGAACATGCATATGAATATTTCGGGATTTAATATAACGTTAAAATAATTAAATCTAAGTTTTAGATTTATCATTTCATGTATAATTATAAATGAACTATGTTTCACATAGATTAACAAATATGTAGATTATACATGTTATTATGCCGTCACTGTACCCAAAACGAAACAGTATTTAGATAAATAGCAATATACATCGTGCTAAAGTACAAAATATCAATCCAAAAAATGTTCGTTTATCTTTTATTAACATATATCATCTCATTATATGTCTTACTTCGTGTTGGCATTTCCACCGCATGGTTCTTAAAATATAAGGTAAAATACTATCATGGTCACGTAGGCGTTTGAACAGGTGTAACTGTACCCTGAAGGTGACGCTGTGATATAGCGGTTAATATAGGAGGATAAACGGTCAATACCAGCAGAAAATTATACAAACATTGTAGATCAATATTAGATTACGAAAGTTTTGTTTTCGTAATTATTCTTTAAATTGTCCATGCAACTATTATCAGAAGCCAATAAAAGCTTTTTGAATAAACATGAAAATCTTGTCAGGTGAAAATTGCATACATAAAGTTCTTCTTAACAATGCGTGACTGTGGTTTGGGCTGCTTTCCCACAAGTGTCCCGTTTTGGTATAATGACGGTAAACGCAAATATATAATTATTTCAAGAAATGAAGTCTTCCTTATTTATAATAATAAGTTTGGATTCCACAAAACTTGCTTCACTTACGTTTCACACATAGCTGATCATATCAGCGGTATGCTTTTCCATTTAATGTCAGAAAATTCCGCCACCCAGGTGCTACTTAATTACAAGCAGATGTATGTTTATACACATTTCTGCTACACGAAGAAGAATTCTGTTTCAAGTGAATTAATGCCTGTATGTTTCTATGGAATTAATAAAATGATATGTGGCAGTATTTTATTTCATAGACGATGGTCAGTAACAAAACAAAAGTATTGAAGCAATTAAAGTTTAAATAACAATAACAGCTGATTTCCATTTGTGTGCAAGCATAATGAGTCAAATACATATTTGAAAGTCTTTGGGGGAAAACTTATACTTGAATATCAATTAATTAGGTTTAGTTTTGTTTGTGTTTTACGTCCAATTAACAGCTATGGTCATTTAAAGACGTGCCAGGTTTTAATTAATAGACTTGTATTGTGTTTTTAATTTTCTTCGTGGTTTTTCTTGTTCCTGTTTTTCATTTTCCTTTTTCACGTGTCTGTTTATTTTTGCATTACATTTCCTTCCCTTAAGTGACTTTTTATGAAGTCAAAACAACAAACGGTTTTCCCGGAGATTCTTTGATGCCAAATGAAACAGACATTTTTCCTGTTTGTAACGAACATTTCCTAATCTCTGGAGGTAGCGACCCTTAGCTGGACGTCTGAAATATTTTTTCGTTTTTGCTTATATTAAGCTACATTTATTTACAGATATTTGTTCCATGTGTGCAGAAAATTGATATCAAATTCCCTACTGTATTTTATATCATGCATTCGCTGGTAGGTTAATCCATATCCTTTAATTATAATCGATTGTATAAGAAATACAATTAGAAAACTAAACAAAAATAAAAGCCAAACAGGAGTCAGAAGGTTTCATAGTAACCTTATTTTCAACTTTTACTCGCAATACTCTCCCTTGCAAAAGTGATTTGTTTAGGTGGTGTCAGTATAATACTGTGCCGGGTGCCTTCGGCTTGATATTCGAGTGATTTAGCACTCTAAAATCGGCATCAGATCGACGCTATTGCCAAGAGGAAAGCACGCTAACAAACTTCCTCCAACACATGTGCATCCATTACACACATGAAGGCACGTCCTCTAAATGGCCTTAGCTGTTAATAGGATGTAAAACACAAACAAACACACACAGGATGGCACGTCCCCTGAATGGCCTTAGCTTTTAATAGGACGTAAAACACAAACAAACGCACACATGAATGCACGTCCCCTAAATGACCTTATCTGATACACTAGATTATTCATTAAAAATGGCTTTTAGCCCTTCTATCAACATTCATTAGTGTAAACA